ATTTAAAACACAAATTTTACGGTAGTTTAAGTTTTTGTAGGAGACTTACATTTTGTTTTGTGTTGACGAGAAGTTTAATGCAATGGGGAACAACACAAGACGAAGCTTTTGGGCGTCGGTTCCAGCAGACTTTCTGTTTGTGTTTGGTTCGGCTTCAGCATTACCTCCTTAACTTCATGACTGAAAGSTTTGTCCACAGAGGGATTAAAACACCTCGTTTTTGGATCAAATTATACGTGGATTTCAAGAGAAACAAACACTGACTGGGTTTGCAGGGTGGGTCTTAAAGGGTGAGTCACTGTGGTTAACACAGGTTCTCAGGATCAATAATTAGACTGAGGTGAGAAAAAAAAACAGGTGAAAATAATCAAACTAAGGCTGTGCAACTCCAGRTTGTCACAAGGTGAGATGTCACTTCATGTATATATTGTTGATTTTCTACACTGCTCTCTTGGAAGTAAAAAAAAAAACACTCTAAAAAATCATTCACAATTAGCACTAACAAAAAGCTTGGAACCTTCCCTCAGCACGTTCAGAGTTTTGTGAACGCCACATGGATGCAGAGGTACAGCACTCCGGTGGATGAGTTCACCAACCAGAGCATCTGGTCCTTCACTGTGGCCATGCTGAGTGTGGGGGGCTGGGCTGGAGCCATACAGTGGCAATTTAACTGATGGGGACTTGGTTTTTGTCYCCATCAGGAACAGTGGGTCCTCAAAAAGCTGCGTGTATCAGAAACATAGTCAAAAWTAGCATCCATGAGGTAAGAAAAGAATATGTAGGGGAAGCTGGGGACAGTTGCAACACTTTTTTTGCATTTGACTCTGTTACTCAGAGATGGTTTGAATTAGACAAATAAAATTTTAAAACAATAAACTCATATCTGTCTGTTAATAGTCAAAACCATTTATAGATTATTAAAACATGTACTTTCTTCACAATTTGCATTTGAAAATGAAAAGTCAGATGTTGCAACTGACCCGAGACAGGGGACAGTTGCAACTTTGTTTGGGGGTGGTTGCAACGTACAATACAATATGTTTCACTGTACAATAAACTCATATCTGTCTGTTAATAGTCAAAACCATTTATAGATTATTAAAACATGTACTTTCTTCACAATTTGCATCTGAAAATGAAAAGTCAGATGTTGCAACTGACCCGAGACAGGGGACAGTTGCAACTTTGTTTGGGGATGGTTGCAACGTATAATACAATATGTTTCACTGTAAATACAAGTTTTATTTTTATATTTATATTATTGCTAAATTAATAAAAACTGTAAGTTATCATGATATTACAGTGTTATTTATTTATT